TCAAAAAACGATAATACCCAAAATTGGCCATAGGCGACGCTTTAAAAGCTGTTACCGCTCATCAGTTTAGTGTTATCAGTGATTGATGGCCCTAAAATGATTGCTCTCACTGCGACGTTCGTGGCGATATGTAAGATGTGTAGCGCAATTGGGTTTTTTGCGCGCTGGGGCCCCGGACGCGTATTTACGTTTATAGGCGCGTAAACGTGGGGGTGGGGGGAGTTAAACATTTTGGGGTTTTTCCCCCCTTTTTTTATATGTTACTTTTATTTTTTTTAATTGATATTAATTTTTTTGCACTTATTGTTATTGCTATTATATGGGGGGATAACACGCAAATGCTGCAGTGCCGTCCGTCCTTTTTTTTTACTACGGGCGGACGGCGAGAGGTTAACCTTGCGAATATCGGGGCAGGATGGGGCCGCCGTACGAAAATGATATGCCTCTTGTAAACAGGGCCGTAGCTACCGTGAGGCACTTGCCTCAGGCGCAGCTGAGAGGGGGCGTAGCCAGGACCGGCCTGGGGGGGATCCGATGAGAAATGGAGCGCTGAGCTCCATTTCTCATCGGGTCGGGGTGTGCGGGGAAGGGAGCTGTCATGCCAGATGGCTGAGCAGTGATGTGACAGAGCGGCTCGGCTAGGATTTGACACCACACGTCTGTTTTTGGCCCTGTCTCCTGCAAACATGCGGACACAGATAGGTTTGTCACCTATGTACAAGAATGTCCGGAGCTTTATGACCCAAAGCACCCAGGGTTATCGCACACAGTGCCAAGACAATGCCTGCACTCCATGGCTCCATGTTTGCTGAACTCCTGTGCTCCCATGAAGGTCACAAACACGTGAAAAGTTTAGAAGAAGCAGGAGATGGCCTAAGAGACATAATCTGCGTACTAAAAAATGACTGCACTTGAATGTGTCAAAAACATGTGCAACTGCGTTTGCAAAAAAAGCATCCAGATCTGGTGATGGTGTAAACAAGCCCTAAAAGTGTCAGCTGGCTCCTAACTTTTGAGGTTTTCAACCATGGAGCTGACTCCTAAAAAAAAAAAAAAAAAACCTCCTGGCTCCAGATTTAGACAGTGGCACCTGAATTCCATATCAACTTGTGCACCCCTGGTGTACAGAATTTTTTTATTTTGCTAAGGCATACAATATATGTCTTGTTTGCTTTTAAGGCCCATCTCCTGGAAAATTTAAGAGTACCCTTGCAGTACAGCTACCCCTGTGCAGCAAGGGTTAATTGCTCATTTTGGTAAAGCATATTTAATTACCTGATCCCTGCTCCTCCTCTGCTCTGGCTGGTGAAATGTCCCTGGACAACCTCCTCTAATTCAGGTGCATGGAACCTGCATTAGACGCAATGATCTCAGCAGTCCTTTGGTCTGCAGCCTCATCTCTCCTGGGCTCAGGCGGTCTGTTTACTGGCCTGGAAGGAGCTGGCAGGTGCGGGGATCAGGTAATAAAATCTGCTTTACTACAGCCACTGGACAAAAACGAGCCGCTGAGGGCTGTTGCACACCTAGGCGACACCTCACCGCGCGGTATATCGTGCACAATTCCGCGCGGTTAGGAGTCGCCAAGGTGTGAACCGTTCGCGCTGTGGGTGCCATTATTTTCTAATGGCACCCCAATCACGCCGGCGGATCACGCGGTTTTCCGCTAAAACAGCCGTGCGTTGTGTATTGCAGAGGGGACCCAGTGCAAGGGCACTTTGTTTGCTCAGAGATGGACTTGAACAACTGACTTCTCTTCTCATGTTCATGAACATTGGGTATATTGTTCTGTTATGCGTATTATCTTAGAGCTTCACACCTGTCCTCCTCCAAAATATTTATACACTTTGTAGCAGAAGATAAAAGTCTTTCTACTTGTTCTTCCTTTTGTGATGGTTACAATCTGCTCCTGTGTGTCTTCCTCCCCGCATTGTTATCTCAGCCTTGTGTATAAGGAATGGAATGTCTTCATAAGAAAATACTTGTCAATGTAGGTAATGTCTCCAGAAAACCTTAAAGGGCCATTCACTCTTATCCACAGCTCGGTAACACTTTCAGTGTTTGATTTTGTTAAAGCTTCATTAAGATAGTAAATCCGAATATATCTGAGATCAGGTTGAGGTGAAGTAAGATTTATTTTCTAAGTAGGATATGTTTCTGGTATTTATTCTTGCCTGAATAATGTGTCTAGCCTAATTGTGTATGTGTATATACCATGCTGGCTTCTACTACTGTGTTCTGCTGAGCAAAGGTTCTGATCAGGAAGTCATTGAAATAATCTAATGCCCCGGTGACGGCACCTGCCAGATGCTGCAAGCACTTTGTTTTCATGGGACAGCTCACACACACCTTTTTATGACCCACCTTGTAGGTTTATTGTTATAGTGGAACTGAACTGAATAAGTAAAGACTTGCTGTGTTATAGGGAAAATAGAGAAATGTGAACTGTGTACTTAGTGCAGTACCCTGAGAAAATGCGATGCGTGTCTGGAATTCTGCACAGTAGGATTTGGGCTGAGAGAGGGATGACCAACATTAGGAGCCAATTGGGAATCTGGTTTAGTGCACAGGTGCTGACAGGAGGAGGGAGTAGAGTGATGACCTTTCATTATCAAGCCACAGAATGACTCTTTCTTAAGGTGCCCATACACCTTACGAATATCGGCCGATTTTTTTCGTGTTTTCGTCCGATATTCGTAAGGTTGATGGGCAGTGTACAACCGCAAATACTGTACAATCGATCGACTTTTGACTATCCAGCAGGTTAGAAAACTTCAGTCGATCCTACGATTTTTGCAAGGTTGGCAGAGTTTCCGTACATCAAAATTTGTACGATATTAGACTGCTCATGCGCAGACAAAAATAAGTGCTGTCGACTACCGCAATTCGTCCAGGTGCTTTCTTTTAACCTTGCGAATATCGGGGCAGGATGGGGCCACCGTACGAAAATTATACGACGGTTCGATCATTGGACGAAAAGTTTCGTCCGATGAGCGCAAGGTGTATGGGCAGCTTTAAGCAGGATGGCAAAAAACAGTTCTCATAGATATGTACGGCTGCAACTAACGATTATTTTCATTTTTTCGATTAGTCTGATTAAAAAAATGAATCTTTTATTTAAAATACACAAGAGGAGTGTTGCAAACAAAGTTTTCTTCAGAATAAAACTTCATGCAGTTCTCCTTCCGGTCTGCTCCTCTGCGGAGTGAAAGCAGGCAGTGGGTGGGTGCAATAGCCAGCCTACTATTGGCTATTGCAATTTGAAATAGCCAATAGCAAGCTGGCTATTGCATCCAATATATAGTCACAGCGGCATTGGCTGACAGCCGGTCTCTCCTCCCCACTGGGTGCCAGCTACATTGGTTTGTGTCCCTCCAATCTCCACTGCCTATGCTGATACAGGGGATTGGAGGGGACACAAACCGCAGCATGCAGCTGGCTCCCAGCAGGGAAGAGAGCTGCAGAGTGACGGCAGCGAGGAGGGGGGATATGCGGGAGCTCTCCTTACTGCTGGCACCGGCTGCAGGGGTCTGTGCCCCCTCCTTCCCTGCTGGGAGCAGTGACGAGCCTACGAAACACCGGCTCCCAGAGAGCAAGGGGATAAACACCAACTAATCAATAAAGAGAATTGTTGACAACTATTCCCATTATCGATTAATCAATTCATGGTTGCAGCCCTATAGATGTGTTTAGCAGTTTGCCTGGTTTTGGAAAAAAAAAAAAAAATTAACTTTGTCCTTTTTTTTTTTTTTGGCAGAACGCCCTCTGCCTCTGGATCACCTGATGTTTGATCACTTGCAGAAGTGGGGCCCCCGCAGAGAAGAGGTGAAGTTCTTTCTACGTCATGAGGAATTCCCAGCAGAGGGCAATGATCAGAGTAAGTATACGCTCCGATGGGACAGCTGTGTTTGCTTATGTTTCTAACTTCTGTCATGTCACAGTTTGTAACTTAACTGGAAATGAAAACACACACAATAAAGAAAGAACATTTCAGGTTTTCTTTCATTTATTGATTTGATTTAGTGAATTTTTAGGTTTGTTCATTAAATAGGGAACAATTTAAAGTGTGTCTATTAGTACCAGTGCTCTCTCAATGCACATTTTGTTTTCTAAAGGGCCATTTATTCATTTTAACGTGAGTTTTATTTCTTAAAACAAAAAAAAAACAAAAAAAAAGTCAGACACCCTAGACCAGAGGTAGGTAAACTTTGACCTCCAATCAGGAAAACGGGCAGCGTGTAATGACTCACAATTGGTCAGGAAACTGGCCAATCGGGAAAGCCAAGCGGTGAGCCATTACTGCTGACGAGGGAGCATGGAGCCCGCTTCCCGGCCAATCAGGAAGCTTTAGCAGTGTGTGTGTGTGTGTGTGTGTGTATAATAAATATATGTGTGTGTGTGTGTGTGTGTGTGTGTGTGTGTATGTGTATATGTATATATATGTATATGTATATATGTATATATATATATA